ATGCACTGAAGGCTGCCCCAAATGGACAGACTTTATAGAAGAAAAACTTCTGGCCCACTCTGATGCCAAGCAGTCCCTGCTCAGACTCCCTCACTCTAATGGACTTGTGAGCAGATTTCACTTATTCCTCATGTGTAGACCGCAATACTTGGAAAGCTTGCTCTTTCATCCATCTCGAAATATTATTCTTCAAATCACATATATTGAAAACTCAATATCTTCAAAGAGTAATAATATAAATATGAAAGGACACGCAGCTCTCGAACGTCTTCGTTTTAGCGCAAAGGGGCGAGCCGTCACGATCCCTGCCAACACAACGGCAGGGCTAGGCTTTACAAAATCTCACAAAAGGGCGGGTTGGGCGGGACAAAACACGGAAGCTTGCAAACAAACTATCCGCACCCACCTCCCACCCTTGAGATGAGAATGGCAACATGATCACATACTTCACATGAGCATCTTTAGAGTATGCAAGAGAAGGTTCACCAACAAATTGGTGCAACTCAAATCTCTAAAAAAGTTTCCAACATCAAAATGTTGAGAAAGGAAATTCGAGAAGTATTGCTAATTTCAGCAACTGAAATTTCTACACAACGGAATAAGGTGATTATCCCTCCGGGAGTATGCACTTATTCCTCATGCGTAGACCGCAATACTTGGAAAGCTTGCTCTTTCATCCATCTCGAAATATTATTCTTCAAATCACATATATTGAAAGGACACGCAGCTCTCGGACGTCTTCGTTTTTGCGCAAAGGGGCGAGCCGTCACGATCCCTGCCAACACCCCCATCAGAAATGGAGAGTGTCAAGGTTCGCCCGCACCCTCGGGCAATCAAGCTTGTCAACTTCTTCAAAGTTCAGCCTGCTTGGCCCGTCCGCAACATTTGACGCCGTAGGCACCCTTGCAAACCACACGTTGAGCTGTAAGTCCATTTCATATTTCAAGAAAGCCCTGACCCATGAGTCAGCAGGCTCGCTCTCTGCATAGCACCTGATCAACGAGTGCCTGGCGCCCTCGTTATCAAGATAACACACAAGCTGGCTGCCATGCATGAGCCCTTTCCAAAGTTGCAGTGAGATAACTAGCGGAGCTCTCCAGCTCATAAATCGGATTCTTGGATTTCTGCAAAAGCGAATGCATAAGCGAAGCAGGAACTGACTCCCCGAAGTGACCTGCACACACGCCATTGGGCGCGAAGAGAACAGCTCCTATCCCACCTGTGCCTTGCTCAGCTTCGCAGGCTCCGTCGGTGAAAAGAGTCCACGTCAAGGATATGCCCTTGAGCACACGCAAAGGCTCAGCACTGGCAATCCTGCTCAAGAGAGCATGAAGGCAGCGCCGGTGTTCATCATTCAAAAGAATGCTGCTCACGGCATCTCTGCAAGCTTTTACCAAGAAACGCAAGGCGTGGCTCGTAACTCTGCCGAAAGAAAAACTTTCGAAGAACACCATCCTGCCCCTGAGTCTCTCAAAGACCCTAGGCGACAAGAAGCCGGCATCAAGAATGCCTTGAACGTACTCGGTCAGTTCTCTCCGCCTCGAGTCGGTATGTCCAACAAGCATAACACGACGAGAGGCGATTGACAAGTCGATGCTGAGCCCAAGCATGGAAAAGCTGGGAGAAAACGGCATGGCCTTGCGGCCTTCACGCGCGAAGTTTATTCCCAGAAGATCAAACAAGCACTCAATCACCCATCTAGTGTTGTCTGCAAGCTGTGTCTGAGAGATTGCAGAATAATCGTCGAAGTAAGCACTCCACATGACCCGGCAAAGCACGATCCCTATCCTCCAAACTGCATAACTTATTCTAAGAAATGCAGAAACGGATCCCACTGCTCCGAACGGGAGCGAGTTCAGTCCAAGGAGGACCGGCCTTTGCACACCAGGCTTGTTGACAGCTATGCGCAACAGTTTGCGATCGAAAGGATGCAGACCGTACTGTTTATAAGCTGACTTCAAGTCAAAAGTCCTACCTGACAATGACGACATGTTGCAATCCTTGCCAATGGAAAAAGCATGAGCAACAAAGGATGCGAACTTATCGATCGTATGAAGTTCGAAACGTTCCTGCAGGCCGATCGTACTATTCAACCCACAGATCGAACAGTCATCTATCACTCGAATCTTGTCGCCTTGGACAATGCCAAAACGCATGGCAACGCAGACCTCGGACAAGTCTGCATCGTCGTCAACCCATACCCAGCCAGCATCGATCTCAGATTGCGTTTCTGCCCAGGTGGCGCTCTCCAGGGCAGAATCCTGCCTAGAAGCCATCTTAGACAAGGTAGCTTTGTTCAAACCTTTGATCAGCTGAAGAAGAGAGGCCACAGACCTCTCAGGCCTTTTGACACTAGGCGAAGTATTTCCGGACAAAGGCATCCAACCTGAAAGCCTAAAACCTTGATGTCGTTCGGGAGCTGGGTGTCGGGACACCCAGCTTCACTCATCATCTCACCAAGCAGCAAAAGCCTTTTGCCCCTAAGAACTTCCTTGAGGTGAGGTTCCATGTTCTCGTGCAGAGCGTCCTCGGCACCTTGCAACTCCTTGGCCCTAGCAGACCACTTCTTAACAAACTGAACCCGAAACTTTGCCAAGTCGTAAGGCTCATCCACAAAATTTGCCTTGGCAGTGGTGGCAATGTTGGGGTCAATGTGCATATCAAGACCTCGAGGGTGTCCAACCTTCAAGGCACGATGAATGAAAACCTCTGGTGCGCAAGGCGTCCCAACTGTTGCCACCTCAATCGTTCTCGGCTGCCACGCATCAAAGACTGCACGGCTGCAATCATACATCGGAACAGCACCAAGAAAATGCAGCTCGAGGTATTCGTTGTCCTTTTGGTTCTGGAGCAGGGCAAAACACTCCCCCCATGTAGACAACTTGCGACGAACCACCCTGGCGCCTTTGGGAAGCAGAGAGAAAGCTTGACAGATGTTCCTCACTCGTGAACACGCATGCTACATAATGTGAAAACTCTGCAACCAAAGGCTTCAAGCGATTGCCGCGCGGCTGAACGCCAAGTGCGATGCGCGAAGACGAATCTTGCTGGGATATAAATTCAAGAGACAGCTGGGGCACATGCGGACCGAAGCATAATTCAAGCAGCGACGCAACAATGCGTTCACACAACTTGATCGGGTACGAGGCCTCGTCCGAAGTGACAAAATGTATCCTGCCCTTGCGAAGACACGGAGTCCAAGGCAAGTGACTGTGACTGTGATCGCAAAAGATTTGCAAACTCTGGAAAGCAGGGACTGAGGTCCAAAGTTTAGTCAATTTTGGGCGACCGCCCCCATGAGCACAGTTGTGGAACAAAACGTGATGCCCTTGCCGATGCTGCAGCAACGCCTTGAACATGGATGTTTCCCAATAAAGGCTATTGGCAGGGTTTTCTATCACGACAAGGATCCCAAGATCAACTGCGCAAATGCTCAAAAGAGAAATTGCATGGTACAACTGATTTGCAAGCTCCACCCTGCGACGGTCCTTTCCACGGAGGTCAGGAAGCATATCAGGGTGTAAATCACTGCGAAGCGGCTGAGGAACGTGATAACCCTGTTTAACCCACTTCTGAAGCGGTCGCTCGCGAGCACGAGAAGCAGTCCCACAAGGTGGTGCAATGAACAGCATAGCGATGCGATTACGCTCTGTCCGAAGGGTTTCGAAGACAACCTGGTTTTGTTCAGGATCGGCAAGATCAAGCATGACAGTAGACTTGAGACGAACGCGGTGTTTCGCATTGTCAACAGACAACGTCCGAAAGCCTGAACGAGCAGCGGCCTGGCTAAGCACAGCAGTACCGGCACAGAGCTCGATGCACAAAAGATCTGAGGGCTGCAACCCAGGAAACCATACAGCTTGACCCTGAATGGCCGAACCTGAAGGCGGAGATGCGGAACAGGCGGGAAGGGCATGGTCTGGGGCGTAGGAGCTAGGGAGACTACGAAGATCTACCAAGGCACCTGAAGGGCCCGAAACCCGACAAACCCTGAACACAAACCCAAGCAAAGAAGTGCGACTCTGAAGATCACGAGAGAGGCCGTCGAGCTTGGGTGTGTATGCAACGACAATGACACGCCTACCTCTCCAGTTCTCAACGCGATGCCAGACATCGGGCTGCAGTTTGAGAGGACCTGCAGACACTTCAGCAAGTCGACCATTCAGCGAAGACCCATGGACATGACGCACAACTGAACCGGAAGGATCCTCCAGCCACACTGCCCCTCCACTGAAGCAGCTAAGCGGAATCACCAAGTTGCAGGAACCTTTAAGGTTCTGTAGGTCGCGATGAAAATCAGATTGTACCTCGTCAAGCACCTGAAATGCTGCAAAGGTATGCGAAGGGTCTGCACAACGAATTGCGGCACAAATGTGTTTGCAGACTGCAGGGAAATCACTATTGTTTCGAAAGCTGCAAACTTGGCCAGCGCGGAAGTAAAGGCCTGCACTGAAGCGAGAACCACCCTTACCCTGTACGTTGCGAAGGCCCCTGTCCCGAGGCAGGCGGTCAAGAAGAGCCAGAAGCGATCCGGCTGAAAAGTCCCGCGCAGCTGTAAGTTGTTGAGCAAGAGATTCGGCATCCAAGTCCTTGGTGGCTGGCGGCTGCACAGGCACCTCAAGCGGCGGAGATTTGAGAGTATCGGTTTCGACAGCAAGTGTGGTTTCGAATTCTTCGTTAACGGGGGAAACAACAGTGGCACGCGACCCCTGTGCTGGATTCACAGGAGGAGGCAGGCCAACACAGGCAGAGTGATCACGTCCCGGCTCTACAGCCGGAGACGACGCGCTGTTGACACCTTCAGTGTCACACAGGTGCAGCCTCTTGTGAGGCGGGCTTCGCAAACTACGAACATCCAAAGCCACGGAGGTGGTATCAGCACAACCGCCTTCGCGACTCACAGTGACACTGATCCCCAGCGGATCGGCACAATCCGCTCCAGAGACCTCTCGAAGATCCACTGGAGCAGAACTTGCAGCAAGAAGGGTATCAGACCCTAGTCAAGCTGCCTGCGCAGCCTTGGACTTGCAGTTGAGCACGGAGTGCCCAGGCTTGTGACACGCTGCACAGATGTGCAGGCCGCGGGCACACTTCATGAATCCAGACTTTGGATCTTTCTCAGTCTTCAGATCACAACCATCCTCAAGGTTACAGCCCCAGCACACGTTGCCCCACTTGGTGCGCGTGTCATACGGCTTCAGGGCCTCAGGCTTGTTCTTGGGCCCACCTCGACGCTTTGCGATCTCCTTGGCGTGCGCACTGGGCTTGGGTTTCTGAGGACGCTCGTCATCCACCTGAGGAGGCGGAGGGTCCTTGTCCTTGTCTTTGCCTTTGCCACCACCCTTCGGTCCCTTGATCATGGGAAGAAGGAACCGCTGCACCCGCTGATCATAAGACAATCTGTTAATCAGATTGTCGAGAGGCAACTCACCTGCAGCATTCCCCCTGAAGGTCTTCAGATTCTCACGCGACATGAGCAAAAACAACTCCTTGTCTGCACGGATGCACTGAGCCAGGCCAACATAAGCATAGCCAGGGGGAGGCACCTGCGAGAGTGAGAGACAATCAAGCAGCCTCTGAATCCACCGTTGGTGGACATTGTACGTGATCATCTTGCACTGATCGTATGCAAGGCCTCGGCGCATCCACGCCCACTGACACTTCAAAGAATCTGAAACATCACACTCAACTGGAGTTGACTGATGTCCCATCTTCACAACGTTGTGTTCGACCTGGAGGGTCGCTGGTTTCTCCTTGAAACCCTGGATCACTTCAACATCCCTCTTGGGACATTTGGATGGCGGAAGCCGGAAGCCAGTAAAGAACCGAGCTTTCCATCTGATGATTGCATGCATCTATCAGCTGATATGCTGGATCAAGCTCACCCTCCATCGTGATCCCAGACAGCCTGCCCTGTTGGTTTTCCCGCCTGGCTCGCTTCTCAGGAACAGGAAGCTTTCTCAAAGGCGCACCATCTGATGACTCTTGAGAAACCATCTCTTTGTAAGTCTGGACCACCAAAGTGGTGGCTTCAAAGTGAAGCTGACGGATGTCTGCAAGATCTCCTATGGACGGATCCGCCACGGCAAAAACCTTCGCAGCCAATTATTTAAACTGATCCTCGCTGGGTGGTGCAGAGGGCGTGCCCATGCTAAAAGCTAAAGATCGATACGTCTTGATTCTCTGGGCTGCCAGCCCTTCGTGAAGAGACCCATCCTCACGAAGCTCTGAGCACCGCCCCTCAAAGGAGGCCCCTCGCTCTCCACTACAGTCGACATGTTCGCTAGCTCGAGCATACGCAAGCACATGGAAATCGTCGTTCTCAAAACTTCACACATGAAATTAAAACGACATGAGAAAGACATGAGACATGCATGCAGCGACTGCCCTATGGAAGTTCCGGCTTTCAAATCAGTCAACACGCAGTCACTGTCCTACCACTGGTGCGCACTCAAATCGAGCAATCAACACACCTTCGGTCATTCTTTATACTCAAGCCTGCGGGTCCATCGTTATGCGAGCACACATACGGCACCTGCTACACGAAGGGTGGGGCTGGCCATCCACCCTCGAGTGCAGCTGTCCCACCGCACGTCCACACAAGAAAACATTCTTGTAATGCTCCTGAGTCAAGTGAAGCACGCGTGACTTATCATGCACCCAGTAGCTCATTCCGCTGGGGGCTGGAGGCACCACAAACGGCGCCTTGCGCTTCTCAACCTCATCCTCGGAAGTGTCACTACTGGAAGATCCAGTCGTGACACATGCATCTAGCTGAGGCTCCTCCTGCTCTTCGCCAAAAGGATTCGCACTAGGCAGAGAAGCTTCAGACCTCGGGGTGGAGCCGCCAACGTCCTCCCATTCTTCATCCTTAATCTCAACAAGAGGCACTCCACGCACACTGGACTTGAAACGCCCACTGCGAGTGGCATCCGGCACGAACTCGCCACTCCTAATCTTGCGCAAAATGCGCTCCAGCAAAAGGAGTGTAGGGGCTGCAGAGTCGCGGGAGTACGTCAAACCCATCCTGAAGTCACCCACGTGATATCCCAGCAGAAGAAGCTCCGAAGGTGACACGAACTTGGCTGCCCAACTAATGCAGGTGCACTTGCAGCTGTGACTCGTGACCTTGCGTTCGGGCAGGGTCTTAGTGTTACCGAACAGTAACAAGCGAAGCCAAGCACCTGCCTCGTCGGATTCTAGAGATCTGACAGTGGGTTGTCGGTCCTTGCCCGGGGCTGGCATCAAAGGTCCTGCAGGAGGTTCAAGGAGCCCAAGCTCGGCTCTGGCCTCCTTGTAAAGAACCGCCCAGTTCCCTGCAACCACACCAGTCGCCGGGGCAACCAGTGGTAGCAGCTTGCCCACCATCTGTCTTGCGTGTTGTGTCTTGTGTACACCAATTGAGCATTCCACAAAAGTTATAACACCATCTGAGTCTCGATCAAAAATCAATTCTTCAGCATGGCAAAGGTCCGTCCACCTTGCCCGGGCATATACGCAAAGCAAAATGCTTCCAGCCATCAGCCTGTCCCAGACACTGTCACCATGCGTCAAGATCTGATGCAACTGCACCAGTTCCGCCACCTGGAGCGGCGAGGCCTGTCGAGAAGCATGGGCCTCTTCTGAAAGGGTGCTGCCATGGCACCTCCTGCTTTCACAATGCTCCTGCAGCTGGGGAACCCCTAAAACAAATCTGCAGAAAGTCAGCGCCTCAATCACGCTCTTTCTCGTAGAGGGCGGCTTGCCAGAGCCACGCAACTCACATAAATACTGATATAAATGGGGCTCCCCACCTGGAAATTCCATCCGATTCCCGGCCAGTTCTATGCTAGAGCTTGCTTG